GGTGTACCCAGGAGGTGACCTTCTCGAGTTTAGCTGCAGTTGGGTTAAGGAGGATGATTTTGAATGGTCCCTGCCACTTTGGGGTTAGGTCATCCTGGCGATTATCAGACAGGTAGACCATGTCCCCAATTTGTCAAGGGGGCAAGGGGGCTTGGGGGTCAGGGGTGGGCAAGTTGTGGTTGACATATTTCCAGAGGGCATTGCAGAGTTCCATCAGCAGAGGGGAGTGGAGGAAGCTTGGTATGGAAGGGGGTTCAGGGGGAGTCCAGAAGGGGGCATGGGCCTTCTGTACATCACCTCAAAGGGGCTCAGCCCCAGGGGCTTTCTGGGCAAAGCCCGTACTTTGAGGAGAACAAGCAGCAGAAGTTTAGTCCAATCCAGATGTACCTCGAGAGATATTTTGGTAAGAGTTTCTTTATTCATCCTTTCTACCTTTCCCGAGGACTGGGGACAATATGGAATGTGAAATTTCCAGGGTATCTGTAAGAATTGGACAAGTGGTTGGGTGACCTTGGACATAAATTCCAGGCCATTATCAGACTGTAGGGATGAAGGTAGGCCAAACCTGGGGATAATTTCTGTGAGGAGGATTTGGGCCATGGTGTGGGCTCTTTTGTTTGTGGTAGGAAATGCTTCTACCCATCTCGAAAAGGTGTCCACAAGGACCAGGAGGTATCTGACTCTCCAACCCAGGGGGCATAAGAGTAAAAAGTCTGTCTGCCAATCCTGTGCTGGGAGGCTGCCTCGCATTTGATGGGTTGGAAAGGATGTAGGTTTAAGGTTGGAATTGGGATTAGTACATTGACATGTCTGACAGAAGCAGGTAAGTTTATCTAAATATTGTTGGTCAGCAGTTGATACGGGGAAGTGGTTACGGAGGAACTGTTGGACTGTCTTGGACAAGGGATGAATGAGTGAGTGCAGATAAGAGAGGATTTCTCTGGTGGTGGGAGGGTTGGGTGGAGTCAGGGCTAAGATGACAGGGGACTGGAGGGAAGGATGGGACAGTGCTATCTCCTTTGCTTTCTGGTCTGCGGCATTGTTGTAGGTTGATATGAGACTTCCCTTCTGATGTCCCCTACAGTGGAGGATGGCAGCTTTGTTTGGTAAAAGTGCTGCCTCTAGAAGTTTGTGGATCAGGCTGAATTAATGATGGGGGGATCCCTTTGGGGTTAGGAAACCTCTTTCTCTCCATATAAGGATGTTTGAGTGAAGTATGTTATAGGCATATTTGGAGTCTGTGTGGATGTTAACCCTTAGATTTTTAGCCAGAGTCAAAGCTCTGGTGAGAGCTATCAGTTCTGCCTGTTGGGAGGTGGTGTGAGGTGGCAGAGGTGAAGCTTCAATTGTCTGGGTCCCGTGATTGTGACGAAGGTCCCCCTGGATGATGGCATATCCTGCCGCGAAAGGTAGGGCTTTTTGAGAGCTGTCATCAATGAACCAGTGTGGGGTGTCTGGGTCTAGGATGGGCTGATCTGTTAAGTTTATCTATCTTGACCCCTTACCGAAGGGGTCTTCGGTAAGATCTACTGTTAAGCTGCACTATGTAGGAGGGGATCTGTTGTAGAGGACATGGGTAATAAGCTGGTGGGCTTAAGGGGAGAGCAGGGGGAGAATGAGAGCTGAGGGTCGAGGAGAAAGGCATGTAGGACCTGAACCCTGGAAGGGGGAAGGGAGAGGAAAGCCCGATGTGATAGTAATTCTTGGAAGGTATGTGGAAAACAGACTGTTTTTTTTTTTTTTTTTTCATTTATTTATATTAGTTGGAGGCTAATTACTTTACAATATTGTAGTGGTTTTTTGCCATACATTGATATGAATCAGCCATGGATTTACATGTGTTTCTCATCCTGAACCACCCTCCCACCTCCCTCCCCATCCCATCCCTCTGGGTCATCCTAGTGCACCAGCCCTAAGCACTTGTCTCATGCATCCAACCTGGACTGGTGATCTGTTTCACAATTGATAATAAACATGTTTCAATGCTATTCTCTCAGATCATCCCATCCTTGCCTTCTCCCACAGAGTCCAAAATGTTCTATACATCTGTGACTCTTTTTCTGTCTTGCATATAGAGTTATCGTTACCATCTTTCTAAATTCCATATATATGCGTTAGTATACTCTATTGGTGTTTTTCTTTCTGGCTTACTTCACTCTGTATAATAGGCTCCAGTTTCATCCACCTCATTAGAACTGATTCAAATTATTCTTTTTAATGCCTGAGTAATATTCCATTGTGTATATGTACCACAGCTTTCTTATCCATTCGTCTGCTGATGGGCATCTAGGTTGCTTCCATGTCCTGGCTATTATAAACAGTGCTGCGATGAACATTGGGGTGCACATGTCTCTTTCAGTTATGGTTTCCTCGGTGTGTATGCCCAGGAGTGGGATCGTTGGGTCATATGGCAGTCCTATTTCCAGTTTTTTTAAGGAATCTCCACACTGGAGGACAGACTGTTAAAGGGGCATGCCTAGAGAGTTTATTTGCTTCGGGTATGAGCGCTGCAACAACTTCCATGGACTATATACAGGGAGGCCATCGGTGTTTTGATAGATACGCTATGGGAGCCCAGGTGTCTCCAGCCCGCTGACATAGAAGTCCCAGGGCCTGTCCTTGGTTGGAATGGGCAAAGAGAAAGAATGGTCTGGTGTGATGTGGCAGGTGGAGAGTTGGCACTCGGAGGAGGCTCTTGGTGAGCTGGCAAATAGGATCGGCCAGTGAGGAGGGGTTAAAGAGGGGCTCATCCAGACATCCTTTAGTTGCCTCATAGAGCAGCTTTGCAAGGAGGGAGAAGTTAGGGATCCAGATACAGAAAAAGTTTAGGAGGCCGAGGATAGACAGGAGTTCCCTTTTTGTTTTTGAAAGTGGACAGTTAATTAAGGCCTGGATTCTGTCTGGGGGAATAGTTCTTTGTTGGTGGGATATGGAGAGCCCCAGGTAGGTGACATTTGTATGTACTACTTGGGCCTTGGATCGGGACACCCAACAACCCCAGGATCCCAGGGTCCCAAGAAGTTTGGCAGTATGTTGGAGGCAGAGTTTTCTGGTTGGGCTATAAAAGAAGAGGTCATCTATGTATTGGAGGAGATGACTCGGGGATAGGTCGAGTGTCTGTAGGTCCTTTTATAAAGACTGTCCAAAAAAGTGGGGGCTGTCTCTGAACACCTGGGGGAGAACTGTCCATGTTAGTTGTTGGGAAACATGAGTCTCAGGGTCTTGCCAGGTGAAGGCAAAAAAAGGTTGGGAGAGGGGGTGGAGGGGGATGGTTAAGAAGGCGTCTTTGAGATCTAACACCGTGAAGTGGGTTGCAGTACGGCAGGTATAGTGAGTGGGCTGGGTATGGTGGACAGAAGGGCGTAAGGGTTAGGGACTACTGGGAATGTCGGCGTGACAGCCTCATTGATTTTTCGCAGATCCTGGACCAATCTCCAAGAGTTTGGTCCCTTCCTTACTGCTAGAATAGGGGTGTTGTGTGGTGAATGGGTAGGAATTAAGATGGAGGCTTGAAAGATGGTCTATGATAGGCTTAAGTCCCTTGTGGGCCTCCAAGGTGATAGAGTACTATTGTTGGGTGATTATAGTTGAGGGGTCTTTTAGGGTAATGTGGACTGGGGGATGATGTTTGGCTATGGGTGGGTGATCAGTGTCCCAGACTTGGGGGGTCTAAGGCAGGTAGATCCGAGGGAAGGTCAGGGGTGAAGGATAGGGACGGTCCAGGTGCCATCTGCATGCAGAATATAGAGACTGTATCAAGGGGGGGTATGGTAATAAAGACCCCCAATTTGGATAACAAATCTCTCCCTAGGAGTGCCATCGGGCACTGAGGCATTATGAAGAATGAGTGTACGAGGGTCGATTTTCCAAATTGACAGAGTAATGGAGGGCTGATTTTTGGCCTTAAGGGAACTCCAGAGACCCTCCCTGATTGTGAGTTCTGAGTCTTGAGTGGGCCAGAGTAGGATGTTAAGAGAGAAAAAGCGGCTCTAGTGTCTACTATAAAGGAGGTCTTTTCCCCGGCCACTACCCCATCTACCCTAAGTTCCAAGCTCGTATTCGGGACATGGGCTGGGGGGCTGGACCCAGGTCCCATCATTGGAACAACTATCATAGGGTTGGGCTGGGGTTCCAGGGGAGAGTGGGGATCTCTCCAGAGGCACCAGGGCATCCCTGTGGACATTCCACTCTCCAAGTCTGGGAGGTGGGGACCTCTCCAGGAGTGCCAGGGTGTCCCTGGGGACAGTCCATTTTCCAGTGTAGCCATCGACCACAGTTTGGGCATGCTTTTGTGGGGGGCCATGGGTTTGGGCATGCCTTTGCCCAGTGTTCCGACTGGTTGCATCAGAAGCAGGGTCCGGGGAGGGAGCAGGTCTTAAGCCCCATTCTGGGATAACTTGGGCCGGGCTGATCTCTTCCCTTAATTGCTGCCGCCAAAAAGGCATATTTAGCTTTTCTCTCACGTCTTTTTCTCTCTTAGCCTCCTCCTATTATTGAACACCTTGAAGGCTACTTCTAGAAGGTCTCTTTGGGGGTGTCTCGGCACTTCTCTAGTTGTTGAAGAAGCTTGCGTCTAACATCAGGGGCGGACTGGATGATGAACTGCACATGAAGGTAGAGTAACCCAGCAGGGGTGGTGGTATCTAGGTTGGTATACTTCTGGACTGCCTCTGTGAGATATGACAAGAATAAGGCAGGGTTTTCATCCGCCCCTTGGGTGACTTCCCTGACTTTATCATAACTGACATGGATATGAGTATTTTTCTGCATTCCTTCTAGAAGGCAGGTAATCATATGATTGAGTCTCCTGATACCTGGGTCACCCGGATGCTATGTCCAGTGGGGATCTAACTGAGGCACTGCCTCATGAGCAACTGGGCTATCCAGGTCTTGGTTATGTAAGTGATTCAGCATGGGCTTTTGCTATTTGCCAGATATGGTCTTTTTCATCTGGGGTGAGAGTGGCATTTAAGATATAATATATGTCACTCCATGTGAGGTTATAGGTCTGCGAGAGTCTCAGGGATTCTTTTCTGTATCTGGTAGGATTTTTCAGATACATTTTCAGAAAATGATCCTAACTTTTCTTCTATCTGGCTTATGTCTGACAATGAAAATGGCACGTGGACTCGGGTGGGGCCCTCTGGTCCTGCCACCTCTCTCAGGGTTATCATATACTGACCCTGTGGGTACCGACCCTGTGGCAGAGGGGAAGGAAAGGGGGAAGGAGTCAGGTAAACAGGGTAGTGGGGTTGAGGGAGAGTCAGGAGAGGTTTCAGAGTCAGTAGGTGAGTTGGATGAGGGGGAAGGACAGGGTTGGAGGTATGGCTGGTAGGGAGGGAGCTCGTCAGTGGAGTCAAACTCCAGGGGTGTGGAAAGTCACCATCGGCAGTTAATTGAAGAAGAGCCCTTTTATTTGGGAGGCAAGGTGCATAGAAGGACCTCGTGGGTAGAGCAGGCCTTGCATAGGGAGGGCCTGCTTCAAAGGGCCCAAAAGGCTTGGGCATATGGGACCTCCAACCACTTGCCATTCCATTTAAGGAAGCTGGTGAGATTCTGAAGAACGTTAAAGTCAAATGTGCCAAATTCAGGTCAACGGTTCTTGACTGTCCAATTGGTATTGATGCCAGACCTGTATACAGAGTTAAGTGATTAGCTTTGAGTTCAGTGAGTAAGAGCGGTTTGAGATTTTTGAGAACACAGGCCAGAGGGTAATCTTTTGGGACAGACTGGCCAGACCCCATAATTGAAAGGCAAGCAGAGGCTCCTAGTGGGAGTTCGAGTCGTCACCCACAACAATAGGAGTTATGAGAAAAGAGCTCTGTGTCAAGGTGGAGCGTCCCCCACGGTTGCTTAGAGAGTGGTCTTAGGCCGGGGGTCCCCGGGACCCGGAGAGGACTAGGTTCTAGGGTGCCTCTAGAACACTGTCCAGATCTTACCTTAATCTAGGGGCCGGCTTGGGTGGAGTGTTGCATGTAGAGTGGTTGAATGGCAAGAGTTCCCTATTCCGGAGGTCATCAGAGAAAGAGAAAAAAAGAGGATAGAGCTGGAGGCCTGCAGGTACGTAAAGCACAAATAAAGCCTTAGGACAAGGCCTGCACCACTTACAAAGGCACTAGGTGTCCCTGAGGGGAACTTATGAGCCCTGGCAAAAAGTAAGTTCACGTTCCCAGATTCCAGGAAAAGGGGAAACAATGAGAGGGAGAGAGAGTGACAGTGAGAAAGAGAGAGAGAGAGACACAAGTTCCTTGCCCTCTCCTGGGTTTCAGCACTGAGAATGTAAGGTATAGTACGGGCCGAGGCAGAAAAGGAGAGATGACCTGCACATAGGTAGGTTACCTTTATTCAGGCAAGGAGGGGTGACAGTCAGCCTAATGACCAGGCTGAGCACGAGAGGGATCCGGGAGGCTTCATATTTAAAGGGAGGTTGTGGAAGCGATAAGGGAAATGTTAGTCAGGCGGGATGTTTTGGGTAATCTTTGGTTGAGATGGCATTTGTAGGTGGGAGGTTTGGGGCAGGGAGCAATAAGTCCCAGGTAGATGCAACTGGCCTGGAGCATCAGGGCAGGACTTAAAGTTCAGTTTTGTTTTCCCCAAAGTTAGATGATTCAGCAAAGGCCTTTGAGACCATTGTGTTCTTTTCTAGGCCCAAGGACTCCTTCAGATGCAGTCATTCTCTCAGTCAACAAGCATGTACCATGTACCTACTATATATCAAGCAATGTGTGGGGAGTGGAAGGTGCTGTGGAGGACAAGACAAATACAGGGACTTTGCGGTGGAGAACAGGTTAACTTTACAAATTAGAAACGGGGAGAAAGTGACAACTTAGAGCATGAAGAGGCTGAAAGTGGTTGGAAACAAGGCAGGTATCACTGAAGGAGAAGCTATGTCCAGATGCACCCATGGAAGAGAGTCTTCTCCTGGTTGATGCTGAGACCTGCACTGGAACCACCTGTCCGCCCTGGCTCCGTGGAGATCGAAGCAGGTAGGATGGGCAGGGGAGAAACTCAGGAAGAGGAGGGACAGGAATGGGTAGAGGTGGAGGTTATAGACTATTCATAGTGGTTTACCTGAGGACCCCCACTAGAAAACATCTTTGGGCTGACAAGCAGTCCTCTAATTTGGCTGCCTGTTGGAATAACCTGAAGAACTTGATACCCTCACCAGGGTTGCACCCCCCGAGATTCTGATTTTCTTGGCCATGGTTTAGAATTTATTAAGCAATCTCTAGTGAATCTAAAGAGCAGCCAGGGGAAAGCAGGCATTAGGAGCTGGCAACCTTGCCTGTCCTCTCTGTAGAGTCTGGGGGCCATCTGTGGGAAGCGATCTGTGGGAAGAGAAACTGTGTGATGGCTTTAGTGTGTTGTAAGTGAGGCTCAAAGACTCCAAGGGTCCTGACAAAAGTACAAGGGGGTCCTCTCCTTAGCAGGTGCCCCCTTCCTCAGCTGTACCTCTGGTGGAAACAAGAAACACGGTGGTCTTTAAAGGGAAGAACCATTTAAACTACTCAAAACTCCTGCCAAATTCCTCTAAGTTTTTGCACCCTGCCCCCTACCCACACATGCAAATCCCTCCTGCTTCTGCTGGCTTCATGACAGGGCTTCTGGGGTGGAAGAAGCATAGCCGCCCCAGCTTTCATCTCACAAGAGGTCTGGCAGCAGCCCAGCAGGAAATTCAACCCCACCTCGCCCCTCAAATCCCTGCACCCTAAAATACCTGACTCATGGAACCCGGGTGGAGTCCTTGGCTCAACAGTGAAGCAATCTTACCTTGAATAAGGGCATGGGAACAGCAAGTATGGTCTACATAAACAAGTCATATGTAGATGTAATTGTATGCAAATATTCATTCTTTAGCTCAGCGTGCATTTCCTGCCAGTTTTCTAGTACTGGCCTCAAACCTTCCACTGCAGCCCACAGTCTAGGAGAGAAGTCAGAAGAATGAAAGTGGGCACTGCAGTGTGAGAGAGTGAAGCCCTTTGCCTGTGCCAAGAACAGCCTAGAAAAGGAAAAGGATCTGGCTTAGCAGGAGATCAAACTTTGAGCAAGTTCTTGAAGGATGCATAGGAGTTTACCAGGAAAAAGGAAGGAAAAAGACAGGAAATAGATGAGCATGTGTTTAGGAACTGTGGAACCTCTTCTTGAGGCAAAAAGGTAAGATTATGTAAAGAGAATAGGATGGCAGAGGGAGATGAAACATGAAAGATACGCAAAGAGTGTGAAGGCCATTGTTTGCCTAGAAAGGAGTATGGACTTTTTATCTAGAAGGGCGAAGGGAGCCAACGAAGTATCTTAGCTGAAAAAGTGAATTCTTTCGAAATCCTATTTTTTCAAAGGGGTAGCCTGGAAGAGACTAGTAACAATTATTCAACAATTACAATATGCTGGGCATTCTGCTCTGTATTTTATTATATCAACCCTTCATGATAATGTTATTCAAACTGCCAGATCAAGAAAAGACAGGGATAAAGGATAAAATGGGAGGAGGTTGGGATTAACATATACACACAGGGCTTCCCTGGTGGCTCAGATGGTAATGCATCTGCCTGCAATGCAGGAGACCTGGGTATGATCCCTGGGTTGGGAAGATCACCTGGAGAAGGGAATGGCTACCCACTCCAGTATTCTTGCCTGGAGAATTCCATGACAGAGGATCGCCCACGGGAATTGGACATGACTCAGCAACTAACGCTTTCACTACTATATATAAAATAACAACTTCCCTGGTGGTACAGTGGTAAAGAATCTGCCTGCCAATGCAGTAGGTGTGGGTTTGATCCCTGGTTTGAGAAGATCCCATGGAGAAGGAAATGGCAACCCACTCCAGTATTCTTGCCTGGAGAATCCCACAGATAGAGGAGCCTGGCAGGCTATAGTCAGTGGGGTCGCAGAGTCATACACACCTCAGCGACTGAACATGCATGCATATATAAAATAGACAACCAGTAAGGACCTACTGTATAGCATAGGGAACTATACTCAATATTTTGTAGTAACCTATGAGGGAAAAGAATCTGAAAAGGAGTACACACACACACACCCACACACATATATATCTGAATCACTGTGCTATACACCTGAAACTAACACAATACTGTAAATCAACTAGACTTCAATATTGAAAAAAAAAAAAAAAAAGGAAAGGAGGAAGGGAGAGAGGGAAAAAAGAAGATAGGACAGGACAGAAAACATCAGTGGATCATGGTTAGGAAAGGTAAGTATTGTTTTTGTAAAATTTTATCATACACTCACAGGAGTATAAGTGTACCGGGTGAGGATGCAAATGTATTTCTCACTGTGGGGTTATGATTTAAAAAAAAAAAGGAAAGTTACTGCTCTAAGGTGTAGGTGTGAGCAGTCTCATTTCACAGATGAGGACGTAAGATGCACGGAGTTTCGGTACCCTGCCTCTCTTGTAAGTAGGCCGTGCGAGTTTCGAACCCAGGCTGGTCTGACACCAGAGTGGATTCCTTCTCATTAACGCGTTCCAAAGTCACACATCTTATAGGGAAGATAAACCTACCCAGGTCGCGCCTGCCAAGTCTCACAGCGCTTCATTAAAGGTGGTAAGTGGGGGCAGAGGCCAATTCTGTCCACCAGAGGCGCTCGTTAGAATGCATATTTCTGTCGTGCGCCGGACACAAGAGGCAGTCCCAGAATCTTTTAGAGAGCTTCAGGTGATTCTGATGCCCACGTTGGCAGGTTGATGCAATAACCAGGTGAGGATTATGGGGGATTTGAACTGAGACGGTGGAAGTACTTTGAGAGGTGTCACGCAGTCCCAACTCCCGCTATTGTGCCTGCCGCCAATGTCTCACTGACAAAGTCGCCCTGGAGGCTCACTTCCCTCTTCAGAAGCGATGAAAGGTAAAAACTTGAATAAAAGACTGGTGGCTTTCAACTCACCAGGCAACGGGTTGAAATGGCCGAAGAGCGAGACGCCCCTATCACACCAGGGCGACGCTGGATTTAGGCTCAAAGTAGATGCTATTTATAGGGCATTTGTCGGCCTCACCCTGAGGACTTTTGATTGGCTTTAGGGCAGATCTATCACTCATCTTCTGGATTAGAGGTGGGTGGAAGGTCAACCACGACCAATACAAAACCACTCCTTAGCTAAGACCCTCCCCATCTAGCTTCCTGTTGCTGTCCATCAACCACCTGGTAGGTGGGACTTTGCCTCCCTTCAGTTGGCTAGCGAACATGTCGTTCACTCTTCAGTAAGCTTCCGGTTGGTGCCCTCTACCGTCCGTCAGTGACATTTCACAGGTCTATTGGCCAAGCCAACGTCGCTCTAGATGCCTCTCTTTGATTGGTTGACTGTGCTGTCGGTCCCCAATGTACCGAGCTCTTATTGGTGAACGCTGCCGTCGCTCGGGCGGTGGCGGGCTCCGGGATTGGCGGGTGCTAGGCGGGCGGTGTCAGGCTCTCGGTGGCGGCGGAGGCGGCGGAGGCCAGGGAGGAAGATGTCGTAATGAGCGGTGGGTCCTGACCGCTGCCGGCGGGGTCTTCCCGGCTCTCAAGGGTCGGGAAGACGGGCAGAGGCCGCAGGGAGAGGGAGCCGGGACTGGGGGTTCCCCCCTGGGGCCGGACCTGGCGCCAGGGCCCGGCTCCGGTAGGGGCGGGGAGGGAGGATTCCCGCCCGGAGGAGGAGCGGGGCTGGCCAGCCAGGCGGAGGCACCCGGAAGGGGGCGTTCGACTCCCCGCCCCCTCGGAGCCCGCTAGGCGGGAGGGAGGCGCTTCCGGGGGCTGGCGAGAGGAGCGGGCACCCAGGGCAAACCTGGCACCTCGTCTGCCTGGTCGCCGACCCACCTGAGTGTTTCCCGGCCCGGGGACGTTGCCTGGGTCTGCTCTGAGGAGGCGGTCGGCTCCCTGTGCGCTTGTCCTGTGTTCCGGGACCCTCTTGCATTCTGACTCTAGGTGCCCACCAGCGATTCAGTGTTCTCCCGACTGCAGAGAGGGGCGGGGGAATACTTGAAATTCCGACGGCTCCAACACACGGGCACTGATGGGCGTGGAAGTCAACTTAGTTCTCTGGGTAGACAGTCGAGAGGTAGTGTCAGGACACGAGGGCGCTCCCTAAGTAGATGATCTCTCGCCTTGGACTGAGGAGTGGGCAGAAACCTTTTAATATTTTCACTTGCATCTTTGAGCTTCCAGCTAGGTATCTGCCAGCGCTTAGCAGAATTGTGAGACGTTTAAGAACTTGTGGACAGAGCTCCCAGCCTGTTACCTGATATCCCATGGGAGTGGGGAGGGTGGAACTGCCGAATCCCAAAGGTCGGGAGCAAACCTAATGAATGACAGAAGTAAAACAAAATGGATATTTACTTTCTTCCTCCACCCCACCTCCATTCCCATTGCTAACATGATTCTCAGCCTCCTTCCTACCCATGCTTCTTGGCTTATGTTCCGGGTGGCTTTCTAATTTTAGATGAAAAGGAATTGTGTCTTCTCCTCTGGGCAATTGAGAAACCTGTCCTCACGGCATTCCTTGGTTTTGATTCCAAGATACTGTCATGTTTAATTGTTTCTTAATTAACTTGATCCAGGGGGACTCAGTCTGGCTTTTCTCAGTGCATATTGTCCCGAAGTTTATTTCTTCTTCTGAGACTACTTCTTGCTCACTTATTTGTCGCTTTCTTGGAGAAAGGGAGGGAGGAGCTGGTAAATCCGCTTTAAACAGTGAATTGACCCGTGGTCACCCATCACACGGGTTTCATTGCAGATAGAAGAGTGATGACTGTTGGGCAGTACACTGGCATGCACTAAACTTGCATGCTGTACCTCAGAAGGCATTAAGTATGATAGTGGAGGACTAAGTGTTGAGTTGGTATTTGGATAAGATTTTTCAGGCTAGAACATTTAGGGTGTTGGCCAGATCATAGAGAGGCTTTGAAGGGAATGATGGTAGAATCCACACCATAGGAGTAATTTAGATTTGATAGCATAAAGAAACATGTTGTCTGCAATAATGAATATAACT